AAGAACAAAAGAGAGAAAGGAAGAAAGTTATAAAACGAAAGATAGGAAGAAAGAACAAAAGAGAGAAAGGAAGAAAGTTATAAAACGAAAGATAGGAAGAAAGAACAAAAGAGAGAAAGGAAGAAAGTTATAAAACGAAAGATAGGAAGAAAGAACAAAAGAGAGAAAGGAAGAAAGACAAAAGGGGAAAAGAAGGAGAGGAGCGAGAATTAAAGAGCGGGAGGGGGTCAATTTTTAAACGGATATGATTGAGGCAGTTAACAACTTTTTAAACTGTACGTTATTTAACACAATATATAATACTAATAATACTCAGTCAGGTGTCAGGCACGTACATACTTCATATGCAATAAAATTTATATTCATATACACTCAAAAGTTTAACAAAAATATTTTCATCTACCTTATTATAGGTAAACCATAAATTATTTTATGAAGTTAAATTGATGTGAACTTTGAGTTGATGTTTAAAAAAAAATAGCCAATTATCTATAATTAATTTAAAAATTGGGGCGGTATGTCAATGTCATCTTCCACAGTTGATCTGCCGATCAAGACAAACTTTCTTTGATATTTACTAATTGGGCAGGGACTATTGGTGAAGTATAAATCAGTATTGTGTTAGGCCTTCAGTGTTGAAATATGTCTACTAACGATATGCAAAAAGGAGCTCAGAAACGTTAAGTTTACACACGCCAACAAGACTAAGTGATGTTTTGGTCAATTAATAAAAAAAGAAACAATCCAGCAATAAAAGTTTCAAAAGTTTTCCTATTTTGTTTTAATTTTAAGCAACAAGTGTAAGGTATGTTTCCTGAAAAGAGAAAATGGTGCGCTTAAAAAAAAAAAAAAGAATATGCGGATCCTTTCCAAACAGTATATCTAGAAAGAATGTTCGTGTATGGCTGCGTGTATGTGTGTGTGAGAGAGAGAGAGAGAGAGAGAGAGAAGGAGTATAGAGAGAAATACAGGGAGATGAGATGAGAAAAACAGCAATAAATTCAAACGAGAATTTATGGCTTATTCTGGCCTATATGTAGCATAATAAAACAGATTTGAATGTCCGTGCAAATTTTAAATATATTTAAATTAAATTAATCTTACAAAAACGTAAAGAAATAGGAAGAAACATGGTAAAAAAAATTATCGTGCATGCTATTGCATTATCGCCTCGTTAGTCTCGATTCAAAGTACCGTTATTTTAGGGTTTCATCGTGAAGAAAAACAACGAACTCCAAAACCAAACACCTAGCTATAGGTTTCGAGAATGTTTCGCGATCCGGTATGTTCCCTTTAGTCGCCTGGCACCGGATCACGACCCGGTATTTTGGGAAACGCTGTTCTAGACCACTCTGCACTCATACTCATAGTGGGCAGGGTCTGGGCCGCCGACCCTTGGGTTACTAGAGCAGCGTGCTAGCCATGCCACCAGCCGATGTTCTGTTAATAATGCAAGGACGCAGAACGCAATGCAATCTCCTAAATGTAATATATATCAAAACGATTGAGGATTATTAATGTTGATTAAAAAAAATATATTTATATGATGAACACTGGGGAAAGTAAAAGTAATATTTTAGGCTTCCGTCCGTCAAAATCTCAAAATGTGACGATGGTGTAGACTTCGCAGGGCGAAATCGCAAGACCTGGGATTTTTCTTTAGGATGATAAGCTGGTTCCCAACAGCAAATCGCCAATCTCCACGCCGCTGGACATCAGGAACCTCATGTGTTAATACAGCTTGGCACCATGAGTTGCCGGAATTTTCATTGTGACAATGTCATGCGGCCAACGGGACTCCATTTCAGGGTTTGAAAGCAGAGTGTTCCTTCCCTTAGAGAAGTTGTCATCCAAGATTAACGAGTCACATCCAACCGGATGGAAATAACAATAATAGGCACCCGGTAATAAATACGTTTTTTTGGGGTTATATGGAAGCCATTTGTTGACATCGTCTTTTGTAGATGGAAACTGTAAGTATAAGTAACTGGGGTATCTATGGGTAAAAAATAATCTAATTAATTTGTCATATGAAAACTAATAAGATATGGACATTGATCGTGGTCCAACACTCTGCTTCTAACGTGATGTGATAGAAAAACTGCGGACAAAAAAGAAATTGCGAATTAATTAGCTTGCCAAATGTAACAAATTATAGTATTATATTGGTACACAGCCACCGTTGTTTTCCCCTTTTAAACATTGTCCCGGCATCGATGCGCAAGGTTTATTAAAACCAGTGCGGCTTCTCAGCTTAGTATTTGCTTGATCATCAGTGGCGCTACAGCTCATTTAGGGCCCTGGCCTGCTCCACCACATCCTTCCATTCGGATCGATGAATGGTTGTCCGCCTCCATGCACGAACCCCCAACTGGGTGTTAAATGCGTCTCTACATCGTCGATCCTCAGTCTTGGACGACCGGTGAGCCATCTGCCCCTAGGCTTCTGTCTAGATATCACCTTTGCTGCCCTACAATCCGGCATTCTATCACCATGTGCCGCCCAGCGATGTCTGCCTTTTAACAAAAAAAATTTGTTGTGACTATGCTATGGATGGGTCTTTGTGAAATGAATATAGCTCCTGGTTTGTGCGGATTCTCCAGACATCATCGTCTAACAGTATGTGCTTACTTACTGCACAAAAATATGTTTAAAAAAAATAATAGAGAAAAAAATTATGATCAAAACACGTTACCGCATGCTGTATCCTAAAATAAAAATGTATTAAGCGTTTTCGTTGTCCAAAAAGACGCTAATTTTAAAAAAAAAAAAGTACTTTGACTTCTACTACTATTAACTAGCAGCTTTCCCGCTCCCCTAAAATACTGGTGCATCACACGTTTCTTTAAATTTACCAGAAATAACTTTTTTTTTAAAGTTGTAGTTACTCAGATCATGACATGAAAGGGATGAAGGGAAGAACGGTTGGGCCGGGGGAGGAGGACGTTCAAGATTATTTTAAATTTTTTTTTTTTTTTTATACTAAATGTCATGCGGTAACAGTGACCAGCCTTGATTCTGTTAAATCAGTTTTTACTTTGTTAAAAGCGAATAGAAAATAGACACATTCGTTAAAGAAAAAAAATTTAAACAGCATTTCTAGCTCCAAGCCCTTCACATCTTCATGAATTTTAAAAGTGCGCTTACCAAAAACAATTCAAAGGCACGGTTCACAGAGAAACCCTTTGATAAGTGCACACCATAGCTCGCATTCGCTGTAATAAAGGCAGGTGACACAGTAAGGATTTGAGATAGAGCTTCTTGATTGATTGTACAGCGTCTTCTACGTTTGATAGAAAGACATTATTACTTCTAGTCTACAGCTATCTACGAGCACTATTATCATGAACACAAAAATATCGACTAAGACTTTTTACTAAGAGGCTACACCATACAACTATTATTACCAACGTCAACACTGTACGCAGCATGTTCCACACTGACATAACCTTTACGTACTTTGCAAATGTACAATGGCTCAGTAGGTAGATCACTCAACAGATTTACATTTACGAATTAAACAAGCAACAATGCAGGGGACGTTATTCAATTTTTTAAAACTTTACAAAATTTTCTCAGTGAGCTCCCTTTATTTTCTTGAAAAATAAATTATTTGAACACAATCTTGCCTATTAAGGAAAATAAATTTGCAGATCTCAACAAAATTCAGAAAACATTAAATCAAATTCTTACTAGTAGATTTTAAGGCACACAAATTATCAATTTCAAATTTAAAGAAGAACAATACATGAATTATGTTTTTTACTTGTCAATCACAGATACTTTCTGGAAGAATTCATTTCAAATATCAGTACATTAGTACCAGTAGCACCATTGTATTTGTACAATATTTACACATTACTACTTTTTTTGTTGATAGATAATTTAATTTGTAGAATTAAATACAACCTTTAAAAAAAAAGGTCAGTTGTAAACTTCAACAATACAACTAACTGCATACAGTATGGATCATGTTTGTTTTTTTGTTCTGTTACCCAATAATTTTAAAGGAATAACAACCATAAAGCTAAGGTTAAAATGTTCAGCTATTGAATCCTCCCCTTACACTTTATGCTCTCTCAAATTGAATAAGGAAATCTCTGCGACAATAAGAGAATCTACTTGAAAAAAAAATATCTCTTCCAAATATAATACATTTTGAGTTTTGTTATTCCACAAACATCCCCCCAAAAACTATAGCAGATATTTGAAGTGAACTACCAGAAAAGTAAAATTTATTTAAAGAATCTATCCCCAGGGCATTTTAAACAAACCTGCTTTTAAGTATTTAAGTGTTTACATAATTTTCTGTTTAGAAAGGATTGTTGATGGAGTTAAACAACTTTTTATTTTTTTATTTTTATGTACACCTTTTAAACAAAGGAATCACAGTTTTACATTTTTTAAAGCAATCAATTATTTATAAAATTTATATTCTTTATAAATGGAATGAAAAATTGGATTTTTGGACACTAGCAAAATTATTATTATGTCAATTTTTAACCTCTTTTTTTTGCAAGTAAGCTCCTTTCAGCATATTTTTGTCCCAGATTTTATTTATTTTGTCTTTGATTTTTCTTAATCTCAGTGAGTTTACGGATGAAGGTTTGGAAGAAGTTTTTATTTTTAATCTGGAGATACAAAGTATTAAAGCTGTTCTTTATGAATAATGTCTTGCTGCCTTGGTTCAACAAATGATGATGAAATCTGGAATGTACACAATTAAGGTATTCTGTTAATGCATGGACAACACCACCACAGGAAGTTCAACAAATGATAATAAAATCTGGAATGCACACTAGTAAGACATTCTGTAAGTGCATGGACAATGAAATGACATCACAGGAAGTTCAACAAACAATGATGAAATCTGGAATGTATGCAAGTAAGATATTCTGTTAATGCAAGGACAATGACGACACCACAGGAAGTTCAACAAATGATAATGAAATCTGAAATGTATAGAAGTAAGGTATTCTGTTAATGCATGGACACTGACACCACAGATATTAAGGCTAAGGTCTCTTATGCAACAATAACAATTCTGTACCACTGAAATCTATTCAAACTCTAGCCAAGTGTTAACATGTCACACCTGTCCATTCTCCCTGGAAGTAAAGGTGTTTATTTAATTTACACAGGGATTTGATCCTGTTTCTTCTGTCATAATGTCATCAGTGACATGGACATTTTGCAAACAAACAAAAATGTAAAACTAACAATTAAAAGAACAGTCTTGGCATGCAATGTAATTCTTCAATTTTTTTTTTTTTTAAAATAAAAGGAACATGTTAGTTAACATTCAAATTTAGCAATGCCCATCCATTTTACCTGAGTGTGCACTGTCAAAACAAGCAAATCACTAACACAGGCTACAAATAGCTCATGAGTCAGTCAACTGTAACTCTTCAACAAATAGTTACCTTTCAAAATGGAATGCACTGAGATAAGACAACCCACAGATTACAGTAAGAACGAGTCCAGCAAAACTTGCATGGCTGAAAATGTTGAAAAGAATGAATTAAAATTAATTAGCTTAAGATCTCCAGGGGGAAATCACTTTATTTTAATAACATACATTCATAACCGGTCTGTAGTATAGATTTGCTTACAGACAGCTGGTTTACGGTTGGATCCTGATACATGCCTATGCAATCTCTAAGAATTCAGACAAGTATAAAAGTTGTGTTGTTTTTTTTTCTCTTAGGGAATGAACAGTTTGAATTAAAACAATAATAAACTGAAGATGTGAAGGCAACTGACCATAATTGTGATGCTTTATACCTCTGCAGTATTCTACTTTCATCCTTGTATTTTAATATCTCAATCTAGATAGTGATAATTTTGTGGTCATGTGATACCTGGTTAAAGCAGCCCAATCCCCCTCCACATCCCAAATTCATTTCTGATGATGCTTTAAGACAGGCCTGCACAACATACAGCCCCCAGGCCGCATGTGGCCCGCCAGCACCCACTTGGTTGCCCGCGAAGTCACAAAATATACTTTATGATTATTATTTTCTGAATAGCTTTCCTCCCTTTCCTATCATCTTTCAGTCCCCACAAGCTTTTCATAAAGTATTAAAGCCTGCACAAGTTTTTCATAAAGTATTACAGCCCGTCTTACATTTTGAGGTGTGCAGGTCTGCTTTAAGAGAATACATTAAGACATGAATTGATAGAAAAACGAGTATTGTGAAATGATGTTGTGTAGCAACTTTGGTAGCCAGTGTTGTTTTCTTCTAAGCAAGCCACTGTTTACATTACTGTATCTTTTATGCTTCTTGCCAAAGTGTCCAAAAACCATTTTACGCTCATCAAGATATTGATATAATGAATGTTTTCTATCATAAGCAATGGATATTTCAAACATCATAAATTCAGTGTAATAATTTTTTTTATTAAGTAACAGTTAAAATTTAAAAAAAACAACCTTCATAGCATTAATCTAGATACTTACATGAGGGAATATCCAAAGTAAGCCATTAATGTTGATGTGCCTGATGGGTGGTAATAGGGATCATACAGAAACTGGCCTTTTACTTTGAATGGAATCTGGAAATATTGACCTGGAAAAAGTAAACTAAATTTTAAATTCTATTTCTCAAAAGGAAACAATTAATGAACAAAAAAAAACTACAGATCCTCAGATTAAATTTAATTATGTAACTTGCAAGTCTTTGAGTTATACAACATAGGTGATTGGTTCAGGAGAATCTTTTAATTAAAACAGTGCTTTGTAACAAATAAATTGTATGGTAGGGAGCTATCTATGATTTACCACTAGATAAGCAAAAAGACCAATATTAAACACATCAATCTTTCACAGGCCCTCTACTCTGAATGTTTAAAGACCCAATTGTAATCATCATTTTTTTCCCCCTGAAAAATTGTAAAATCTCTTTAAACATTTTAATATTGAATACATCAAATATTTAAACAAATATATTAAAAAATCCAGAAATACTTATTGCTGTATATATCAAAAAGTAATAAAAAAAAAGAGATAAATTTCAACTTTTAATATTATTCTTTAATGACTGCTGTTACATGTAATCAGATCTGAGGTTGGTTGCGTGTTTTGTTTGATGATGTTTATGGCATTATATCATTCAACACTTAGCTTTGTGGGCTGTTATCTGCCGAAAAGGGTGTGTGAGGGTAACCTTTAAATATAGATGACCTTTAAAATTTTGAAATTTTTTATTCTCAGATAACTTCTGCTTACAAATAAGCATACAGTAGCCTACATTATAAGAATTTATTTTTAAAAAGGTCAATAAAAATGATAACTGATTAAAATTTCAATTCTACAACAAACAATTGCTTTGCAGAAAAAAAAGAAACATCTTAACATCCTTAATTTTACTAGCTTCGCAACAAAACAAATTATTAAACTCACCACCCATTATACCCAGTATTCCATATTTCCCATATGAATGCACTTTGATGGTGATTCCACTTAGCAGAAATATATAGCCAACTAACAGCACATCATTGCGAGCCAGTTCCAAATTATGACCTTGTTCTCTCAGCACTCTGTGCAATCTATGAAAAGAAAACAGTTTAATGTAGGCCTCTTGGGCATAACTTGTGTGTGAATAATATTTTTATTTTAACAATTCAGCTTGTTTGATCATCAAATCTATCAATTTCACTTTGATGATTCAAATCTGATAGTAATCAAAATTGTATTTATGAGCACATCACATAAGATATTAAACAACTTACAAGAGAAATGCACAAAAACTGTATGCAAATGAAGTTCCTGCATAGACAGCAAATGCCAATTTGTTCCCAAAGTAATGACACAGGCTGCTGTATTTGAATTCATGTACACCAAACTGTGAATAAAAAAATGATGGTTTATTAAAACTATGACATGACAATGTTATTTTAATTAAAAAATCATAATATCACTTAAAATTTTATAGATTTTACAAAATCTTAACCTAAATCCTTAGAAAAACTAAGCTAAAAAAGAAGTTTGTAAAATATCATTTTTGAAAAATAAATAGAATGACACATTCTTGCTACAGGCATGTGGTGCTGCCAATTTTTCAGGCGTTAAAACATGACTACTATTAGATTATCCGGCAAAGAAAGAATATTTTTTAAAGACACTTACGATTATTTGTAATAAATTTTATAATCAGCAGCAATTTGCAGAGAAAGTAAAAACAACATATTTCTGAAAACCTTAAAGTACTGTTTTAAAAAGTACAGGCTACACAATCAGAAGACCTTAAGAGTGGGTAGTTAGTATCTGCATTAGCTTGACTGGATGGTTTTTAGAGATTTTTTACTAATGATAAAAGATTTCAAACAGATACATTTAGAATAAATAGTTGATTTTTTTGCATACAGCCAAGGTGTAAACGACTCCCTAATCACTTTCATCTATTTTTCATTTGCTGAATTGGTTATTATTGGAGCTATAAAACTTTGGGGCACAGGGCTACAATTCTATATTAAAGGGGTGTACTAGTTGCCTATTCTGCATTTCAAGACTCTGTTTCTTACTTACCAAAGCTTTACAGAATGGATCACTAAAAATAATCAAGGCAGCACCCCAAAACCAAAAGCTGCTCAAATCAACATCAAATTTCTTTGGCATTGCAAGCTGAAAAAGAAAATTAACTAATATAGGTTACTTTCTTCCATAGACTCATTATATAATCTCAAAATACATAATTTTTTTGTTCATAATCTAATATCAATACTTATAACTATTTATCTTGATTGTATTTCTGGAAATTTTAAAATTCAATGTTCAATTGTTTTATTTTAAATAAAGGAATTGTTAACAGAAGATATTTGTACCAACATCCTATTCAATGAAATATCAACAGCAGACCTACCAAGCTGAGATTTATAGTTGCCATTTCACTACCACAGCAACCCATCAGTAGTTTTTCATCTCCATCCATTTTAACATTAGGAAAATGTTACTCAAAATGTTCACTTATCTGTTGAATGATCTTACTCAAACTAAATTCTTTAACAAGACACCTTTTAAATGCAGAATGCAGACTTTGTTATTCATTTTCAGACAATATGATGACTTTGAGTTAAGTCCTGTTTCTTTAAAGGAAATAATATAGTATAGGCTGTATAGGGCAAAATATTTTTGTTTTCACAACAAATACTATTTACTAATAAAATAACCTTATTCTTTATTAATATCACCTACTTACTGGATAAGCCTACTCAACTGTCCCAAAACTACTGACAAAAACTAAGTTAATTGATTTGTATTTAAATGTTAACAGCTGTAAAATCAACATTTATTAGGTTGGTGAAGGCTAGAGCTCAATGCTTCCCTCCTCAAATTGGCCTGAGCCAAAGCATAATTGGGATGAACAAGCAACTTTAATGTATCCCTAACATGTGTGCAAGACCTGCCATCGTCCTGCAGTTGTCCCTTTCCCTTGTGTAGTCTCAGTAGCAAATTTATGCATACAGGGCACCACACAAATAATAAAAACTCTTGATATTTAATAGATATCTTAGAATAAGTTGTAATCTGATGGCAATCAATGGCATGTTGTCAGCAAAGGGCGGAGACAGCAAATGTAAAATTAATTGTGCACAACCATAACAAATGACGACCTCAGAAACCAAATTACACAGTGGTCTCAGTTCACACTATTAATTTTTGTCCCAGTCACTTGATTATTATAATTATTTGAAATAGGGGCCTACTGACCAAAGGTACTGGTTTATAATTTATATTATATTCATTTTATTATATATATTGTTTTAGTTTAAGGCATAACCAATTCTTAATTTATTCCTAATTAGCAGGTTTTGTTTTTGGAACATAATAATAATCTAATATTAGTTACACTTAATTTAAATACGGGACCCATACCTAAAGCAAGACATGGACAAAATGGAGTGAATCCAACATACCGCAGTGCGCTTCATCGCACGTGACTACAAATCAACCAATCCTGACTTTGTCACTAGCCTCTTAAAAAGATTTGATATCCCCTCCCTCAAAGACAGATGAGAAAAGCTCCACCTAACATTGCTATATAAAGTGGTCATGGGGCTAGTGCCAGCCATCTCACCCCCACAGAAGAAGCCAGGTCGCTAAATCAAAGCAAAACGCTCAATGAACACTGACTTTACCTCTAATAACCCCATAAGCAATTAAATCAGGAACAATAGTTAATGCTTCACTGTGCCTCGGTGTAACACAGTCCAATATAAACAATCATTCTTTACACGCACAATAATCACTTGGAACCACCTGGAAAATGCTGCCGTAGACTCAACGTCAATCGAGAGTTTCGAGGCAATCAAGACATCCCTGACATTCACTAGGAGCCGTTAGGATAGCAGCATCGCTTCCCAATAGTTGCACATATGCAAGCAAGTAAATGGATTCAGCAATGTACCCAACCAGAACCTGGCTAATATCAATATATATGAGACTAGAAACCTTTAGTGTAAGACGTCTAAGACGACCAGAACAAGACTTATTAATAAGAATAAGACTATAATAACTATAAAAAGACAAAGAAATTTCAAATTCAAAGATTTACAAATCTACGATAAAGAGTAAGAGTATACTAAAATTACATAATTTCATCAAACTAACTGTTTTCGTTTGTAATAAATGTAACAAGAACGAAAATCAAAACAAAAGAAACAAACAAACCGAGAAAGGAATATTAAATCAAAGTTTCATGATCAACTTGAATTAAAAAGACAGTTCTTGCGACAGAAACATAATAATATTGAATCTTCTGACTTCTACTTCTGCCACTGCCGACAATTAATTTTTTTTTAAATTGTACAAATGACCGATGAAGCATCTGAATCTGGGCTTACAAATTTTGCTACTGCTTGAGTTATATTGATTTTATAATCCAGGTTTTTCTTTATTAAGTGTTTATGATGAAAGCAATATATTTTGTCCTTTGATTTTTACAATGATCCAAGTGCGCTGTGCGTTGATAACGTCTGCTAACAATGTAAGGCAACTGTTATGAAAATATGAAAGAAATAGTCGATAAATAATAATGACTCCGTACACGAAAAGCTGTAAGTAATCCTCTATGCTTAAAATACACCATTTACTGACTAAGAACCACTGCGAAATAGGAAAGAAAAGGTGAAAATGCCAATACATTGATTTATTGAATCATTAATAGATAACTAATAAAGTTCTTTAACTATCCAAATAAAATGATCTAAAATAATTATAAAAATATTAAGTGGGCTTTAAATTATTATTGTAATTGAATATGATATGGGTGTGTAGACTGTAGGCAGTGTAGTTGTTAAAACGCGACTGTGATAAACATATTCCCCCAATATCTTCGACATCAAATAATTCATTTTTACTAGACTCGAGCCCAGTCACTGGGCCGGACTTAAGACAAATTAGTCTCGTGTAACCAAAATTAATGTAGGGTTATGGTTTTAAAGTATTACGAAATGATTAATGATAGTTGCGAATATCCTAATATTCTAGTAACGATGCCAGATTAACTGAAGGAAGGCAAATGAATGAGATATGTAGGTCTACCTTTAGGCCTTGGAGGCCCTCTAGGCAATCGACATTTTGCCACCTCTCGAAAAGTATATGGAATGTTACATCAGTCACTTTGATTGAAAAAAAAATGAATATTCGTACGACTCTTTTCTATGTCTGAGTCTATGTCTGTATTACTCATACTTAAGCCTATTTCATAACGTTTGTTTGTTGTATGTCACTCTCTGTGTCGGCCTTAGAAAGCTTTGTGCTACAGCCAAGAACGATAAAATGCCACCCCTTTATCGCAAATGCATATCCGTGGTCTACTTAAAAAGAAAATAGTTTTTAGTTTCTAATAAAATAATAATATTGAAATCTCTGTCGACTCGTTTTAATACGATGTCCACTTGCAGCGGTGAGGGCGGGGGGAAGCAGTGGTATACTTTGGCCTCATGTCTGGGGTCTATTCCCAGAAGACCGCCCCACCCCCCTCCCCAAACACATGCATCGATTTATATAACGTTATAGGCCTGAAAAATTAACCGCTCTGATACCTAGGTAGGCCTCAAGGAAGGCACAATTTCGACTTCCTAGCCACCCCCCCCCCTTTCTCCAAATAGTTCTTGTTCTGTCACTGACACCCAAGAATGCGGACTTAAAATATTTAAAAAATTTAAAGCTTCAAATGTTGACAGACAAACCTATTTTTACGGAATCGTTTTAAAAAAAAATAGTTAAAACCATAAAGATAAATTTAATCCAGGCATTTAAGTATCATAGGACTCTAATAATATTACTAAGGGCCGGCCCAACGGCTGCTGGCGCCCCAGGAAAGCTTAACTTTTGAGCCCTTTTTAGGTATAATCATAACATAAAAATTTTTGCAAGGAAACAAATTAGGGGTTAGGTAATATATTTTTTTTATTTAGGTTGTTTTTAATAAATAAGAACAGTACTATGGGTTTTATTAACTTTTATTTGGACAGTATGAACAGTTAGCCTAACGATTAAATTTTTTGTCCTAGCCTGTGGATCAGAAAATCTTTTTATTGCACGTTCTGTGTTTCTTCTATGGTGGTCACATGCCAGGGGCGTCATTTCAGGTATATTTAGGTGGTTTTTTTTTAGGGGGGAGGGAGGGGGAACCAAACCTTGTTCGGCTCGTTAAGTTGTTTACTGCTGGAGGCGCCACAGTATATATATATATATATATATATATAT